TCCTCTCTCTCCTTCTCCCTCTTTCTCCTTCTCCTTCTCCCTCTCCCTCTTTCTCTCCCCCATCTCTCCCATCTTCTCTCTCCTTCTCCCTCTCCATTTCTTCCTTCTTTTCTCCTTCTCCCTCTTTCCCTCTTTCTCTCCCTTTCTCTTTTTCTCTCTCCCATCCTCTCTCCCCCTTTCTCTCCCTCTTTTTCCCTCTCTCCCTTCCTCTCCTTCTCCCTTCCTCTCTCCTTCTCCCTCCCCCTCTCTCCCTTTCTTTTTCTCTCCCCCCTCTCCCCTTCTCTCCCTCTCCCTCCCTTTCTTTCTCTACCTCTTTCTCTCCCTCTCCCTCTTTCTACCTCTTTCCCTTCCTCTCTTCCCGCCTTTTCTCCCTCTTTCTCTCCCTCTCCCTTTCTCTCTTTCTCTTTCTTTCTTTCTCTCCCTCTCTTTCTCTTTCTTTCTCTCTCTCCCTCTCTCTCACTTGCTTTGCTGTTATACCAACCTCACAGTGCCACTGAAGAGGACGGGCTCCTGGGGGATTATGGAAAGCTTGCTCCGAAGATCTGCCAAGCCAATGTCGCTGATTTTCACTCCGTCAATTTTAATGCAGCCCCCCGAGAGCTCCACCAGGCGAAAGAGAGCCATCCCTAAGGAGGATTTTCCTGGGGGGAAAAAAACAAGGGAAATCGCGGTCAGCTGCCATACTGAGGAACGTGCAAGGCTGGCCTATCTGCTCTCACAGGAGCTCTTTAGCGGCTGCTTTAAAAAAAAATGGCGGAAGCTCGTTAAAGAGAGATTCAATCTGGAAGGAAGGAGACATTTTCTGACATTCGGAACAATGGAATGCAGGCAGTCCTCAACTTAAACAACCATTCATTTAGTGACTGTTCGAAATTACGGCAGCGGTGAAAAAAGTGATTTATGACCATTTTTGCACACTTGCAACCGTTGCAGCATCCCCCCATGGTCACGTGATCCAAATTCGGACGCTTGGCAACGGACTCGTATTTATGTCGGTCGCAGCGTCCCGGGGGTGTCACGTGATCCCCTTTTGCGACCTTCTGACAAGCAAAGTCAGTGGGGGAAGCCAGGTTCACTTAAACAACCAGGTTCCTAACTTAACAACTGCAACGATTCCTTAACAACGGTGGCAAGAGAGGTCGTAAAATGGAGCAAAACTCACCTAACGAGCGTTTTGCTTAACAACAGAAATTTGGGGCTCAATTTAGAACATGGGATCACTTTTACCAACGGCTAGAAAAACGAGCCAGAGAGAAAGGGACGTGATACGTAATTTTGAATATATATTAGTAAGAAGAAGGCTACTGACTGATTCATTAATACTGTTTATGATTATTAACTATATCTATTATTTAGTTAAAAGCCAACACAGTGCTAGGCTGCATTAACAGAGGGAGAGAATCAAGATCAGGTGGAGTGTTAATACCACTTTACAAGGCCTTGGTACGGCCACACTTGGAACCCTGCATCCAGTTTTGGTCACCATGATGTAAAAAAGATGTTGAGACTCTAGAAAGAGTGCAGAGAAGAGCAAGAAAGATGATTAGGGGACTGGAGGCTAAAACATACAAGGGATGGTTGCTGGAATTGGGTATGTCTAGTTTAATGAAGAGAAGGACGAGGGGAGACATGATAGCAGTGTTCCAGTATCTCAGGGGCTGCCCCAAAGAAGAGGGAGTCAAGCTATTCTCCAAGGCACCTGAAGGCAGGACAAGAAGCAACAGATGGAAACTAACCAAAGAGAGAAGCAACCTGGAACTAAGGAGAAACTTCCTGACAGTCAGAACAATTAACCAGTGGAACAACCTGCCTCCAGAAGCGGTGAATGCTCCAACACTGGAAGTTTTTAAGAAGAAACTGGAGAGCCATTTGTCCGAAATGGTATAGGGTTTCCTGCCTGAGCAGGGGGTTGGACTAGATGACCTCCAAGGTCCCTTCCAACTTTATCATTATTATTATTATTATTATTATTATTATTATTATTATTATTATTATTATTATTATTATTATATGTACCCAGATAATATGCTGTTTGCTAAATATTGAAAATGTTACCTGGGAAAACCCCAACCCTAACCCCAACCTCAATCCTAATCTTGACCCCATTTTATCCCTAACCCTATAAAAACGTTTTTATTTAAAAAAAAAGAAAAGAAATTCGGGGCTCAATTGAAGTCGTAAGTGGAAGGCTACCGCTATACAGTTGAGTTATGTTGTAGCTTGCCTACAACAAGTGTTGTGGGTGCTCCATCACTGGAGGTTTTCCAAAATAGACTAGGCAATCATTTCACTGGGATGGTATAAGGCAGTGGTGGCGAACCTATGGCACGCGTGCCAGAAGCAGCGTGTCCACTCTCCTTGGGCACGCACGCCGTTGCCCCAGCAGAGTTTGCCAGAGTAGCGAGAACGTGGCGTTTGGAAGTGACAGGGCAGGAAGTGAGCGAGCAAGCGGCGTTGGCCCCCCGGGGATGCCCCGGAGATGGTGAGGGACTGGACCCGGCCACGCTCACCCAGTCTGCTGTGACCACTGCAGCCACACCCACCCAGTGGGCCACACACCCCCACCCCCCTTGAGGGCACCACAATGCTGATGCAGCCCTGGCACTTTGTGATAAATATGTGGGTTTTGGGTTGCAGTTTGGGCACTCGGTCTCTAAAAGGTTCGCCATTACCGGTATAAGGTCTCCTGGCTTGAGCAGGGAGTTGGACTAGAAGATCTCTAAGGTCCCTTCTAGCTCTAGGATTCTACGTTCTATGTTCTACTTTTTAATACTATTTTATGGCCAGCACATCCAAGGCGGTTTAGAGTTGAAAACGAGAGTTTTACAATGCAGTGGACAATATACAAAAGAAGAATAATACAAAGAAGAAGAAGAAGAAGAAGAAGAAGAAGAAGAAGAAGAAGAAGAAGAAGAAGAAGAAGAAGAAGAAGAAGAAGAAGAAGAAGAAGAAGAGGAAGAAGAAGAAGGAAGAAGAAGAAGAAGAAGAAGAAGAAGAAGAAGAAGAAGAAGAAGAAGAAGAAGAAGAAGAAGAAGAAGAAGAAGAAGAAGAAGAAGAAGAAGAAGAAGAAGAAGAAGAAGAAGAAGAAGAAGAAGAAGAAGAAGAAGAAGAAGAAGAAGAAGAAGAAGAAGAAGAAGAAGAAGAAGAAGAAGAAGACGACACCCAGGATCCATGATTACGCAGGAGTCTGCACACTGGCATAGTTTAAGAAGTAATTGCTCTGCGGCCGCAGAAGACCAGACCCTCCTTTCTTATCCTACAATGCCACTTCTATGAAAACAGTCACTAAGTGCACACTCAGAACAGAGAAGCAGGTGCAGGTAGCTCTCAACTTGCAACCGTAATGGCTGTAAGTCGTGATGGTCGTAAATCGGGTCACCCACGTGACTGACCCAATGTTAACAGAAACATAGAAAGCTGATGGCAGAAAAAAGACCCAGTGGTCCAGCTTTTTGAGTTCAGAACCAAGTTGTAAGTACTCTTGGGGAAGTCTGTCATAACTTCAGTCATAAGTCCAAAACGACCTATATTCACACTGAAGGCCCATTTGCTCACAGCATTATAATGCCCTGTGACATCCAGACCATCCAACCATTGATGTTTTTAGGAGATACTTCAATGAGAAATCTTAAGCAACACTTGTGCATTGGCTGAACAGACCTGTACCCTAGCTACTGTGAATTAGTCATCCTGTCATGGTTCCGACAGATGAAACTTCGAAAGAACTTTGAGGCATTGTTTACCTTAAAGAATCTTTATTTTGAGTAGCATAGCATCCTTTATTTTGAGTAGCATAGCATCGGCAGGAAGCCAAAAACTAAATTCCACTCCCCTGGGCACATAGTATCAAAGCAGAATTCCCTCCTCCAATTAACAGTCATAAATCACATTCCCCAATTAGCTTGAAGCACGGGCTTCCTCTCCAGTTCTCCAGCCCGCCAATTCCTTATCAGCTCTGGTTACAACAACCTTGATTCTCAGGCTAGGTTTAGTGTTGTTATGTCTAGCTGGACTCTCGTTCACATCCCCTCTCCCAGCATCATCTAACTCTAAAAGCAAAAGGTAAAAGATGGCTACATTTCCCTCTGTTGTCAATGCAAAAACATCCGATGTTTTATCTTCATAAAACCTATTTTGGCACAGGAAATACAGGTGCGATTTTTTTCCCCTCTTCAGAAATAGTTGTTTATTTTTTAATTCTATTCCCCACAAGGTGGCTCCAGTGAGCTTTTAAAAAAAAATCTAGACAGGAGCAGCTAGAGCAGCACCCCAGCCTTACCTGAGCCGGTCCTCCCCACAATTCCGATCTTCTCCTTGGGTTTAATGGTGAAGCAGACTTTTTTGAGGACAAGCGGCAGGTTCTCACGATAACGCATTTCGGCATTTTCAAAGCGGATTTCTCCTTCGTGGGGCCAGTCTGGAAGGGGGGCCTTATTCTTGATGCGAGCCGGGGCCTCCAGGGAAAGAGTCTGGGAATCACCGAGAGAGAAGAGAAAAGATGTCAATTACGGGCAGCAGTCTAGGAACGATTAACAGAATAACAGAGTTGGAAGGAACCTTGGAGGTCTTCTAGTCCAACCCCCCTGCTCAGCAGAAAGCCCTATACCATTTTAGATAAATGGTTGTCCAATCTCTTCTTTAAAATCTTCAGTGATGGAGCACTCACAACTTCTGGTGGCAAGCCGTTCCCCTGTTTAATTGTCCCCACTGTCAGGAAATTCCTCCTTAGTTCTAGGCTGCTTCTCTCCTTGATTAGTTTCCATCCATTGCTTCTTGCCCTGCTTTCAGGTGCTTTGGAGAATAGCTTGACTCCCTCTTCTTTGGGGCAGCCCCTGAGATATTGGAAGGCTGCTATGATGTCCCCCCTCGTCCTTCTCTCCATTAGACTAGACATACCCAATTCCAGCAACCGTTCCTTATATGTTTTAGCCTCCAGTCCCCTGATCATCTTTGTTGCTCTTCTCTGCACTCTTTCTAGAGTCTCAACATCTTTTTTACATCGTGATGATCAAAACTAGATGCAGTATTCCAAGTGTGGCCTTACCAAGGCCTTGCAAAATGGTATTAATAATTCCTCAAGCATCTGTTCTGCTTTTTTCAGGAGAGTGAACCTCACACATAATAGCCCAAACTATCTTTCTC